TCAGTTGCGGCAGCGGCTGACTGGGGGACGCCCAGGGCAGAGCAGCTGGGGTGCTGCTAGGTTGGTCTCACAGCGCCAATGGGTGGTGCTACGGGACCAACCCAGCACCCCAGCTGCTCTGCCCCGTTTACCCCGAGTCAGCCGCTGCTGAAACTGACAGCGACTGACACAGGGAAGCCCGGGGCAGAGCAGCTCCAATTGTCCGGCTGCCTGGAGCACTTCCGGGTTCCAGGTGGTGCCAGACTATCAGGGGTGCCGGACCACTGGATGCCGGACAAACTGGAGTTTTACTGTATATCAAATATCTTCCTGTATGCTGACATTTAAGCTACATGCTGCAAAATACTGGAAACTTATTTCGCTTGTTAATAGGGATATGAATGGGCAACCTCGGCAGCCTCACAAGTGGGAGTGGATGGGCGGAAATGGAAGCAGGGGACAGGGGAAGGAGAGGGCTGCTGGCCTTCCTACTCTACCACTTCTGTCCAGCACGACTCTGCCGCAGTGAAGTTGCCTCCCTGGGAGACCAATACCATTAACTGAAAAGCATCAGCTTTTTGGTTAACCAGTTAATCAGTTATACTCTTAACATCCCTACACAATGGGCACTACACAAATATATAGAATGAGCTCATTAACTTGGTGTTACTATGGTCATTAAGGAGGAGCTAGAAGCGTGGGTGGAGGGTGCAGAAGTCAAGGCAGGGGGCTGAGAGGTATGGGGGGTACAGGATTCAGTTAGGAGTGAGGAGGGACTCAGAGCAGGGGATGGAGGGGCTGAGGGTGAGGGAAGCAAGAGTCAGGGCAAGGGGTTGGGAGGTGTGGGAGGGATCGGTGCAGGAGGTAGGGATATGAAGGGGTAAAAAGTAACCCGATAGGCATCACCTGTACCAGATTATTTTTATGATAACTGGTTAACTGGCGCCCAGGAACAGCCTCCGTCCCACCATGCGCAAAGAACTGCTTTAGCCCTGCTGGGCCCACCTTCAGGCAGGCTGGCAGCTAGAGGCCCCATGTGCTGAGGGCTGCGCCAACTGGGTTGGAGTGGTCCCCCTCCCATGGGGGCCCGTTTATGGTGACTAGCAACATCCAGAGCCTCATCCCTAGCTGGCCACTTGCTTACTGTGACTCCTCTCCCGATCATTCTGCAGTAAAACTGCCTGCTGGCAGACCTCTGCCTTTTTATTTCAAACAATGGTATTCCAGGCCAAGTCCAATGACCTCGCACAACCAAACCTGTACCTTGCATACTAAATTTGGTGCTCCTAGATTTTACCATTTAGGAGGATGACCCACTTCTTCAGATGACAAGTGGGTTGTGCCCATGAAAGCTCATTATACTATCTATATATTTTTTGGTTAGTCTCTAAGGTGCTACAAGACCATTGTTGTTTTTTAAGTTTCTTTAGTTACAGGATAACACAGCTACCCCTCTGAGACATTTAGGAGGAGTTCTTGACACACACCTGCATACACGAACTCTCTCAAATATATAGTTGATGCTTATGATGTAAGGCTCTGATCCTGCATGTTTTTCTAGGTTGTGATGGGGAATACAAACCCCAGACAAGACCGGAAGGGTTTGAAGGATGGTACTGAGACCAGGAAGTTCCATCCCTTCAGACTGTAGAACATGCTCTTCCTGCTTCTCAACCCTCAGCCCCATGAGTGCACAGCTGCAGCCCATGTGGAATCCTTAGGGCCATATTGGTAGTATATGTATATTGTGTAGATGTGTCCCACATAGCGCAGAGAGCTGCATATGTGGCCCACAATAGTAAATAGGTTGAGAGAACCACTGGTTTAATTTATAAAGAGAGCAGCCCAGCTCAAAAAGAGGAAGCTGTGGGGAAGGAGAACAGATATCCCCTGAAGGAAGGACCTGACAACAGTTCTTGGGAAGCTTCCCTGAGGTAATAGAGACTATATACTGAGCCTCTTTGGGGCTGATGGTTTGATGGCCTTTCCTTTTCTCCCCCTCTTCTTTTCACCTTATCTAGACTAGAAGCTGGGAGAGAAAAAGGGGGAGGAGGTGTTCCAGGGAGAGTAATTACAAGGGCAACTTCAGTAGTCACACATTGATCCTTCTAGGGCCCTAGCTCAGAGCTGATGGAACGGTCAGGCCTAGGCTCTTCTGCCAGGCCCCTACTGCAGGAGGGACTGAAACCACACTTCTTGTATGCTTGTATGCTTCTGATTAAAAGAGGACCAGCACTGCAAGACCCACTCAAAAGGAGGCAGCACCAGATGCACTAATCACAAGGTTACCAAACCAGCTAAGGAGTCTGTTAACACACATGAAATTAGTGGGGTTCTGTATGGAATAGCTTGTAGAATCAAAGAAAAGGGAGCTGAGGATAAGGGATAGAATAAACTTTTATGTGTGGTGCCCTCATGCATAATAATTTAAACAAACTATATTAGGTAATCCTAGTTAGCCACTTGCTTATTGTTAATTGAAGTCAAGAATTTCTAAACAGTTATTTTTTTTATATTGGGTGGGCAATAATTTTTTGCTAGGGCTGCACAGGAAGGGACGGGGCCAGGATGCTTCTGGGCTTCCCCACCCAGAGACTGATTGGTCTGCGGGTAGGGGAGTCTCTTTTCCTCCCCTTCTCCCCCCCAGGTTTCCCCTAGGCACCCATGCTCCTGGCGGTGAGAGGAGACTTCCTGTGCTCCCCCAGACCAATCAGGGCCTGGGAGCAGGGGAGCACGCAAAATCTCCTCCTGCTCTGCCAACAACACTGTATGCAGTTGTGCAGGTTGTGACAAAGCTTCTGAAGGAAAATAAAGATCTTCACTGATGGATGTAATTGACTCTATGGCTAAAAATTAAAAAGCAGTATATTTTTTTTAAAGTTCTTAAAATCTTCTCTGAACCTTATCATAGAATTTCAACAGCCATATCTACTCAATGGGTGCTGCAGCAGTGTCTCTGTAGCACTTTAATGTCGATGCTTTCTACAGCAACAGAAGGGGTTTCTTTGCTGCCGTAGTTAGAATGGCACTAGCTAAGTTAATGAAAGAATTCTTGCATTGACCTAAACACTTCTACACATGAGTTAAGTCAACTTAACTACAGTTCCCAGGGATTTTTTTTCACACTGCAAGCATATCTCTGTGTCACTCTACATTTAAAGTGTAAAATAGGACTAAGATTT